TTTTGTATGCATCCTATAGGAATAAAATATGATCCTTTAAAAGAAGAAAAACAACTCATGGAAGCAAAGCAACAGGAACTAAAAAGAATAGAAGAAGCAAAGCAAAAAGTAGTTGATCAAGGTAAAGAAGACAATAAATATCAATGGTAATAAGTAGAGAAGACCTTAATATTTATCATAATTGAATGTTATTTTTCTCCAGAGGCACTGAGATTATTTAACAAATATGAGAGAATCTTATTACATGGGGAATTTCAATGTGGTTTCTGTGTTTTGTCATGTGTACAGAAATTTTACCTTATAGAAATTTATCTTGAGGCAAATAATATGGGTAAGGTCAGTTTTAACAGTAGCAATTAATTTTATCAAATATATTTTCTTACCTTTCTAGTCTTTGCTTTTTCATTCCCCTTGTATCATCAATTCTTCACTGTTTTGGAGATGGTTTCGTATGTATCTGTTTATATGTATCTCTCTCTATATATATTCCCTCCTGCCCAATCTATTTATTTACCCTCTGGCTTTACATCTTTTCCTATTCAACTTAGACCACTTGGTCCATTACTACAGTCCCTTTTTCATCAGTAGAGGAGGTGTCCTGCTAAATCTAATTTCTTTTCACCTATCTTCTGGTCGTCATCACCAGCTACTTTTTACGCTCTGACTCTCGCTTCTTCCCCCAGTGGGTCTTTCTCTTTAGCATGTAAGTATAATGTAGCCTCTTCTTATTTTGGAACATGAAGTCATTTTCCTAACCTAGTCATCTGTTTGTCTTCTCCTCCTCTGTCCTATGTTTAGTAGCTAAACATCTTAAAAGAAAAATCTATGTGTACTGACTTTACTATTCTTGCAATGCACTGATATTTTTTAATGAAAAATAAACTCCAATAATAATCATTTTATCTGTTGACAAACATTAATGAAGATTTAATTCATACTCCCTGGCAATACGTCTTGTATTCTGTTTTCTTCTCTGTCACAGTTCTTTCATATCCTGTGTAGTCATTCATCCCTACTCCTAATCTTCTCTTTCCTAAGTCTCCTGTGCTTTTTCCTTTTAAAAATTATTTTTATTTTATCAAGATAATACATATACATAGCTTTAAAAGTTAAGCAGTACTCTAGGACATATTTTAAAACAATCCGTCCCTGGCTAAGCCCTGCACCCTACTCCCTAGAGAACTAGCATGTTGCTAAATAAAATGCTCACATCTCTATTACTTGATTTATTAAGTTTAGATATTATTTATATATATTTTATACATATGCCTTCTTTTATGATAGACTTTGAAGATTGATCTCATTTTTCTATTTTCCAGATATACTTCTATCACATTTTTGCTTAAATCAGTATTCATCGTTTATATTAATATTATTATGGCTATATATAAATGTTTATTAGTGATTATTAGTTTATTAGTAATCTTCCTGTTTTGGTATGGGGCTTTCCCTGGCTTTCCATGTGCATGGTATCAGAGTCTGGAGCCTGTTAGGTCCATTTTCTTTAGAATAAACCTTGTGTTCTCACTAGGGTGGGAAAGGGATAAGTTGCCTGGCTATTGGGCTGCGAGAGGAAGGGAACCTAGCCGTTCAGCTGCTCATTATACAAATTTAAACCAATTCTTGTATATTTTCTTCTCTCTCCATCATGCTCCCTGTTTGCCATTTTGTTTTGTGGGGTCTCTAGTTCCTGAATCTTTCTAGGGTTCTGTTTTTTTCAACTCATCTTGTGTTTCACTGGCATCTCCATCTATGGGCATTTAGGATTGAGTTTCTTCCTCTCTGCTACATGCTAATGCTGTCTGCTTTCCAGCTTCTAAATTTTTGTTTCTTTTTCATTTATTCTTTCTCCTATCCTCTTTATTTTGGCTTGGGGATTTATCCATTTTTTCCCCTTTATTTTTGCTTTAATGAGGTTTTACTGAGGAATAGAGAAATGCATGCAATCTACGATGTTGAATCAGAAGTCCCTCCTTTTTATATATAGGTTTAAAATATAGTTGTTTAATCATGCTTAAAATTCATTGGTGAAGATACATAAGAGCTCTCATGATTTGAATTCTGTGTACCTCTCCATCCTCAAATCCTTGTCTGGCCTCAAATCCTTCTTATATCTCTTTTATTCTTTGCTCTAGCCATACTGAACTATTTGTAGTTTACTGAATATGTCAAGTTTTCTGTACTTTATATCTCACTTCCTACTTTATTCAGTATACATTTGAGAGTTATCAGCATTAGGATGATAGTTTAGGCTATAAAGTCTTGATGAGATTACTTGTAGTAGCACTGTAGAATAAGAAGAGAAATAATCCCAGGACTGAGCTATAAGGAAATCCAACATTTTGTGATGATGTAGAGGAGGCAGACAGACAAAGAAGATCAAAAAGAAATGTACAGATAAGTAGGAAATTTGGAGTTTCTGGTTATATGGGAAAAGGACTGTTTTAAGAAGAAAAGAATATGTTAGATGCTGATGAGCTATCAGATAAGAGGAGGATTAAGAAATTAAGCATTTTGTTTACGACATGTAAGTCATTGGTCACCTTAGAAATTGCCATAGTGACTGAGTGATAATGGCAGAGGAGTTACCTTGCTGTATCTTTTCATTCTTCCAAAGTTGGGGGAAAGTCATCTGCTAACAGTAATGAGAACAGGAGCAGAGTTGTTGGAGCTTTGAGGAGAGTCAAAACAAATTTTAAAATGGTTGTTCCAGAGAGTGTGAACATGTTGACCAGAGAAATGTAGAAGGTTGCTGGTTGGTTGAAGTCGGGGACAACTAGTTTATGATAATTCTAATCTGTGCTGTTGCGATTTTTTTCCATTAGTACTCACCTGGCAAGACAGACACAGGCATGTTTTTATATTTTATTGGCAGAGGAAAATGAGAAAAAAGAGCAAAGGAGTTTCAGGTGCTGGTGAAATAATGTATCATGGAATCTGAGCTGCATAAGGCAGTCAGGAGGAAGCTAGTGGGTAGTGAAAGAAAGATTTAGCATTTAATTGAGTGACAATGAATTTAAAAGAGCAAAGGATTTTATTAGGTAGTGGTGGGTTTCAAAGATAGAATATGATCCTCTGTTTTTAAAGAGCTTGAATGCTACTGTTGTTTTGCTTAATTCTATAGTCCTTTTATGTTTAAATGTATTTACTTAACTTTGGTGTATTTGGGGTACATATGATTGCTATCTTCTTCACCTTTACTTTGTCTAAGGCCTTCTGGGCCGGCTGAATTAGGGAATACTAGAAAATTAGAAGAAAAGATACGTAATATGTATACTATCTATACAAAGGACTAGAAATATGAAAGAAGGAACAGGTCTATAAATACGAAAGGATATATATAGCTGTCATTGGCATTTTTAAAGGGGCAAAGAGATAGTAAATAGTGGTTATCAAAGGCACATTTCAGAAAAATTAGGAACCTTAATTCTTTATTCTTTGTATTTCCCTGGAAGATATTGAAACTAAAAATAGTTAACATTGTTTTCTGAAAATGAAATAGATAATAAATTTCTTTCATCTTTGTTTGAAAGGAGAGAAGAAGAAGATCTTATAATTTTCTATATTGTGTTTACTAGGGGGAGGAGCATATTCAACTATTTTATACCTGTAAGCACAGACAATTTATGATGGTATCACTAATTTTAAGGGAGATACCTGCTTTGCTACTGTTACTGGATTTGCTAATTTTTGCCTATTATAATTGTTATCTAATAATCTTCATTGTTTTCCATATCTGTACTCAGGCATAATTAAAAGATAATTTATCAAATCTAATGCCAGTAAATTCTACATAGTTGACTTTAGACTCATGGTACCAGAAACTGGCTTTTGAAAAATTTGTGTTTAGTTGTCTTTGAAAGACTTTTGGAAAGTAGACTACTAGTGTTCTATTTATAAATATGTATATTTTTTCTTTAATAAGGCAACATAAGTATACTACCTCAGTCTGTGGATATTTATAGAGTATATTTTTTTATTCAAATTAAAAAAGAATATTTGCAATTGTAGAACAAGATCGGCAAGAGAAACAGGACACTTTTGCAGAAAAATTAGTTACTCAGATCATAAAAAATCTTCAAGTGAAAATTTCCAGCATTCATATTCGTTATGAAGATGATGTAAGTATTTTAATAGGTGATTATTTTCATATTCATATGTAAGTGATTTTACTGTTTATTGACACCTACTCTGTAGTGGCTAATCTATTAAATGCCAGGAGATGGAGAGATACAGAGCTGAAGAGGACATATTTCTTTTCCATGCTTATAGTTGTAATTTGCAGGGGTGAGTGCTTGATTTTACACTTTCCTAAAATGTTCAAACATCAGATCATGATGGAAAATGACTTGGGAGTTATGAATTTAGCAGTTATGTATTTTAAAAATACTTTAAAACATGCTCAGTTACCTCCTGGATGGAGCACTGGCACTGGTCTAGGAATCAGTAGAGCTAGACTAAATCAATTTCGTTTGATTTTAAATAGTTCATTTGTTATCTCTTAACACATAATTGTTTGCTTTATAATCCTACTGTGAGTGTGTCAATCTTTTTTTTTAAATAAAACTTTTTTTTGTAAACTGAAAAACATTATTTCGATACAGTATTATTATAAAACACTAATACATTAATAGTATTCTAATTTATTTTAGGGAAAATATAGGAATAAAAGTTGTTCTGGAAAATAGTAAAGTGTTTTTGAATGTTTGAAATCAGATACTTTTTCTATAAAGTGAATTTTGTCCAGCTACTAAAATTCGGAGTAAAATTTGCTTTCTTTCCTCTTTAGATCACTAATCGAGACAAACCGCTGTCATTTGGTATTTCCCTTCAAAATCTCAGCATTCAGGTACTTTGTTTATAAAGGAAACTTAATCATATTGTGCAGTGTAGTCAAATTACTAATTACTATTTGCATATGCGATCATCAGAAATAGGTGTCTATATAGAATTGGTGCAAAAAGGGCATAGATTGGATTGGAATTGAGGATAGGTATGTTCACGTTTCAAAAAATGGTTGAAAATCAAATTCAGTTTAAAATACGAGGGCCTATTATTATTGATAATTATGTTAACTACTTCTGCTTACTTAAAAAATCCATTTCCAAATTTTTAACGAATAAATACAAAATAAAAGTAATAAATGTTCAGATCTGAAACTTTCGTAAGCCTTGAAAAACAAATCAATCATCCATTTCCTCACCACCGTTATTGTGGCATAATTTCTTTGTTTAATTTTTGAAATGAGGAGTTTTAAAAACATAAGAGCACATAGAGAATTATGAGACATTTGCTTGCCTCCAGAATGAATGGATGGTTAAATTTGTCATTTACTTAGTCTTAAATATTTTTATAGGAGTAAGCTGTTATGAATAAAATTTAAATCCCTTTTGTTCTTTACTCTCACCTTTCCCTCCTCCCCCAGAGATTAACATCCTAAGTTTTTAAACCTTTATATAATATTACCATTAAAAAATACATATAATATCATTAAAATGTAGGTTTTAAAAGGTTTACATAAATGTTTTGTATGATTTTTTTATAAGTTCCTTTTTACTTTACAGTGTTTTTGACATTCATCTGTGTTACCACATGTAATACAATTCATTCAGTTTAACTGCTGTATAGTATTTCATTACATACTTTTTTTTTTGTTATTTCTATTGGATTTTGTGTATGATTTCCTTTTAAAACATGGCTCCGCTACAAGCAAAAAGAAAACTTTTCCTGGCTTTTCTTTTTTAGTTATTCAATAAAGTTTGGTGGGGTAAATGCTGCTCTTAGGTTGAAAAATAAGAGCAGAGAATTAGCCATTGGATTTGGCAGTGTGAAGATCATTGATAACCATGACAACAGTGGTTTTAATCATCACCTTTGGAGGTTCTTGGAAACTTGTCTGCCAGCCCAGACCTATTCAGTTAGAAAGTCTAGGGTTGGGATCTAGCAATCTATAGTTTAAAAAGCCCTCCAGATGATCCTAATGCATGCTAAAGTTTGAGAACCACTATTTTAATTAATCCATTCAGTTCTCCACACAAAAATGAAAAACATCTTTCTAAAATAAAGATCTGATCACTTTATTCCCCTTAGTGGCTTTTCATTGCTGTTAGAATAAAGTCTGTAGTTTTGTCTTTAAATAGCATATGAACTTTTTTTGTAATCTGACCCCAAGTAACATATCTGTTTTCACCTCTTTTCTTTGTCTGTTTTGTATTATATTCTCTGGCCGTGCTGAGCTACTTTAGTTCCCTGAACATGTCATATATTTGCATACATTTGGGCTCTTCCTGCTCTGAATTATATTCCCTATCGATCTTAGAATCCATAATTTTACTTTATATGTTATATATTAGGTTTTATATATAACATCACTTCATCAAACCCCTGAGTTTGATGTTTCTGCCATGTTCTCTCAGTGAACTGTGTATTTAACGTCTGTTGTGGCACTTACCTGTTTGTAATTGCTTTTGTTTTTGTTTGCTTTTCTGGCCAGCAATAAGCTCCTTGAAAACAGAGACTTTCTTGTGGTCACTTAATATTCCTTGACCAAATGATATGTTTTCAAAGGCATTTTCATGGAACATTTGTCTAGGGTATGATAGATGATTTATCACTCTGCCATTTCAAATGTGATGACCTTATTACTGCTTTTCTTTTTTTCTTTTTCAGACAACTGATCAGTACTGGGTTCCATGTTTACATGATGAAACTGAGAAACTAGTTCGTAAGGTAAAATAAACAAATACTGTATATTTGTCAACCTATGGATTTGATGAAAGAGAATTTTAGAAAGGCAAATGGGAATATATAGATAAGAATTTATGTGAATTGTATTTATTTGCTTAATTCTGTGATATGGCTCACTTAATTATTTGAGACTTCTGAAAATAGCATATGTTAAAAAGTCTTCAAAGAAAATGATACCTATAATAAACTTTATTTTCAGTTAATCCGATTGGATAACCTTTTTGCCTATTGGAATGTGAAGTCTCAGATGTTTTATCTTAATGATTATGATGAATCATTGGTAAGTAAAGTTTTTTATATCTGTATATATTATTTGTTGGTATCATCTTTTGCATAAAGTTTAATTCATTGTCTTTTATATAACATACTGTAGTTAAGTATTTTTTTCTAGGCAAAATCCATTGGCAGAATTTACAGAAAGGTGAATATGTACGTGCCCATACACAAACATGTACACACATACATCGTAATAGTTCCTAGAGCATGCTTTTGTAATAGTGGTTTAATGGGATATTGTTTAACCACTTTAATATTTTGCCGTAGGCCGAGTGCGGTGGCTCACGCCTGTAATCCTAGTGCTCTGGGAGGCCGAGGCGGGTGGATGGTTTGAGCTCAGGAGTTCGAAACAAGCCTGAGCAAGAGCGAGACCCTGTCTCTACTAAAAATAGAAAGAAATTAATCAGACAACTAAAAATATATAGAAAAAATTAGCCGGGCATGGTGGTGCATGCCCGTAGTCCCAGCTACTTGGGAGGCTGAGGCAGGAGGATCACTTGAGCCCAGGAGTTTGAGGTTGCTGTGAGCTAGGCTGACGCCACGGCACTCACTCTAGCCAGGGCAACAAAGTGAGACTCTGTCTCAAAAAAAAAAAAAACAAAAAACAAAAAAATATTTTGCCATAGCCAAGTCCTCCTCAGTTTCAGTTATTTATTTTTTTTAATTGTTTTTAAAAATTTTTCTTTTGTAGATAATAGGACTTTTTAGGATAAAAGCGTATTGGCATGAATATAAATAAAAACAATTTGTCTTTTAATAGAATGACTTGAGGAATGGCATTGTCAAAGAACATATAGTTCCAGAAGGTTATGATTTTGGTAAGTATGTTTCATAAGATAAATGAAATTAATCATTATAGATTTTAAATTAACATTGTTATCACTGCTATTTCATATTAAATTTTCTCTTATACAGTTAAATATATTTATAATGTATATATAAAAGTAAAAAAATTATCTTTTCTTTATTGTTGTAGATAGAGCCTTTGATTATATTTCAGAACTATAGGGGAAAAAGTCCAACAAAAGAAGATGTTAATAAATTGTGATAAATCTCTAAGTATTATTCAATAACAATTAGGACAATGTTTATAAAGACATTTTGAAATGTCAAATATAATTTAATAAGGCTAGCTGCAACAGCCTGTAGTGTGATCTTGCTATTTTTAAAATGTGCATTTAAATTTTCTTTCATTTTTTGTTTTCCAAATTTTCTAAAATGAACATGTATTACTTTTGTAATCAAAAATGGATTAGTAAAATATACAGGGAAATGGAGTGCTGTTTCTTCTCTGAGGGCCCTCAATAAATGTTGATTGGTGATAGATAACTTAGTGCTTGAATTTGCCTGCCTTGATGTCATTAACCATAGAATATCCTTCCTGGAAGTATTTCTTTTCTTGGCTTCAGTGATACTTTTCTGACTGTATTATTCTACCCATATGACTGATTACTCTTTATTTCCTCAAGTGGCCCTTCTTCTTGTGCCCACTCTTAAAATATTATTTTCATTGTTTTGAATTTGGTTTCTGAGGATCAAATTTCAACATGAGATTTGGAGGGGCCAAATATCCAAACCATGTCATCTAGTATGTGTTTATGATTCTCAAATCTACTTCTATAGATTTGACTTGTTTCTCCTTTGTCATGCAGTCATTTCCTGCTATATCAGTCAAGGTCCAATGAGGAGAGAGAAATCACCCAGTAATTTGAACAGGGAAAGTTTAATATAAAGAATTACTTACTATGAGGCTGGGCACTGTGGCTCACGCCTATAATCCTAGCACTCTGGGAGGACAAGGTGGGCGGATCGTTTGAGCTCAGGAGTTCGAGACCAGCCTGAGCAAGAGTGAGACCCCATCTCTACTAAAAATAGAAAGAAATTGGCCAAACAACTAAAAATAGAAAAAATTAGCCGGGCTTGGTGGCACATGCCTGTAGTCCCAGCTACCTGGGAGGCTGAGGCAGGAGGATCCCTTGAGCCCAGGAGTTTGAGGTTGCTGTGAGCTAGGCTGACGCCACGGTACTCTAGCCCGGGCAAGAGAGTGAGACTCTGTCTCAAAAAACAAAAAAGAAAAACAAAACAACAAAACAAAGAATTACTAACTATAAGAGGAGACTGGAGTAACAAGGGATTGCCTAGTAAAAAGTAGAGAGAATACTGAAGAATATCAAGGAAATAGAAGGAATTGCCCCTACCCTAGGGCCAAGATGGGATGCTCCAAAAAGAGGGCCCCCCTCTCACAGGATTGAGATCTAGACCTTGTTAGAGAGAGTATGGCATGGCTCGTTGAATGTCGGGAAAGTCTCTGTGGTTCTGTGCCAGCAAAACTTACTGGAAATTCACCCTCTAGAACTTTCTGGAAATCTATTCTCTAGGGAGGCTCATGGAGAGATGTCTCTCTGGATGTATCCCACCATAAAACTGCCTTAGCAGAGTGCTAGGGCAAGTTTCTGGCTTCTGGCTTCTTCTAGCTGCCATACACTGCAAATGGCCAGTGTTGAAGTCCTTCATGCTTTAGGAACCAGATACTGGAGAAGCCACCTATTTGGTAGGAGCTGAGTGTTGGAGATGCCATGCCACTGCAGGAGCCTGTTGAATGAGCACACTGGAACCAGGCAGTAGAATTCCTTCCTCTTGCGGTGTCTCTCCAGTATCCTTTACTGATAAAGCTTAACATTATGTCAGCTGGTAAAAGAAAAATATTTAAAGGCCTCCAAATCATTTTTCAGAGTAGGCAGTGAAAGGTGAATTTAATCTGGCCAGGCACGGTGGCTTATGCCTATAATCCTAGCACTTTGGGATGCTGAGGTAGGAGGATTGTTTAAGGCCAGGAGTTCAAGACCAGCCTGGGCAACAGAGCGAGACTCGGTCTCTACAGAAAATGGAGAAATTAGCCGGGTGTCATGGCATGCACCTGCAGACCCAGCTGTTCCAGAGGCTGAGGCAGGAGGACTGCTTGAGCCCAGGAGTTTGAAGTTGCAGTGAGCAATGAGGATGCCACTGCACTCTAGCCTGGGCAACTGAGGGAGACCCTGTCTCAAAAAAAAAAAAAAAAAAAGTGAATTTGGAGCTCAGAGGCAATAAATTGATAACTGGCATACCTGCTGGAGAGGGAAAAAGGAATGAACTGTTTCTTTTTGTTTGTTTTTATATTTACTAGGAGAGATGACACGTTGTTTATAGGCTGAGATTGGAATGACCCAGTAGAAAATGAAAAATTAATGATGAAGGAGAGAGGGGGACAATTTCTGGATGAAAGGGAATGGTGTCTAGTGCACAAGTGGAGAGCTTTGCTGTAGACAGGAGCATGGGCAGTTCATTTATAAGATAAAGTTTAGTTTCAAAAGAGAAGTCTCAATATTGGGTAGATGCATAGATATGGAGATAGAAGTTTAAGGAATTTCTTTTCTCCTTTTTTTTTTTTTTTTTTAATATCTGAGGTTTTTGGAGGGAAAAGAGACTATGAAAAAGGCATTTTAGAGGAGTGAGTGAGTTGACTGGGGCAGTATTCTCAAAGCATGGTTCTAGCACCAGTACCATCATTAGAAATGCAAATTTCTAGGGTCTATCCCAGACCTATTGAATCAGAAACTCTGGGGGTGAAGCACTCAGCATTTTTTTTTTTTTTTTTTTTTTTTCTGGAGCACTCCCCAAGGCAACTTGGAAGTCTGTTCCAGGCAGCAGTCTTCAGCTTTGGCCCAAATAAACTCAATATGAATTTTGCCCCCA